TTGAAAAAAAATTTCTTGCAAAGTGAAACCAACATACCTCAAATAAAACAAGAAAAGAATTAGGTAGATCACAACTTCCGGTGTCTTAGAGGTGTCACGAAACAAACGTCAAAAGATAAGGGTCAATAAAACAATAAAAATGTCGAGCTTAAATCCCATCTGGAATTCTATGCCAGGGAGGGAAAATCTAGCGAAATCGCAAAAATTGGATAACAGACAAGGGTCTCAAAACAACTTTGAACTTGCCTACAAGACAATTCTAAACAAGGTTCTTAGACTCACGGAGGTTGACTCAGAGTTATAGAAAAATAGGATGCTTACCTCCATCCGATCTTCTTCTTACGTAAGGAAAGAAAAGGGCAAGAGAAAGTTTCAAGTATGGAAATGGCATAACGCAAAAGAAGTCTCAAGCACAATCAACATTGGCTAGCCAGGCGAAAAAGGAATACAATACGGTTTGCAAAAGCCCACAAGAAGACAAAAGCTTAAGAAGGAACAAGACGGCTTTGCTTCCCCAAGTCCATGATTTATTGCCTTCACCATCAATTCTTGTTATTTTCGGTAAGTCCCGCTGTCGCTAGGAAATCGCTCACGGCGCAAAATACGGAAAAGAATTTTTGACGTTTCCCTCAAGATAGAAATGTCACTTGAGATTGCGGCATAAAATATGCACGCAGTGCCAGATCAGTCTATCCGCCTTAAGAATAAGGTCGGATTCCTTCGTTCGGGAATTTTTCGTAAAAGGATAGGTCACTATCGCCTTTCTCGAGGCTTAGCCACTCTCGAGAGTTGCGACGGTGTTACATTTTAAGTTCTCCCACCGCTCATCGTGGTTGAACAATAGCGGGGATAAGGCACTCAGACTCTACTCCAGCTCGCACTCGACTGGGGGTCAAATACACATCTAATGGTCTTAATAACCATGGTTACAGACCTTCGAATATCCCACACCTGGGAGTTCTTCGGTTGTCTGCTCCCTTCGTTTAAGCCTTCTCCTTTCGAGATGGCTCGCGAATGGTCCTCATCCGAAGACACCAAAAAATACATCAAGAAGATTGTTATACACAAAACTCAGCTCGATAACATTATATCGAATATCTAAACAAAAAAAACCTCAAGTTAGAACTTAACTCTATATCGCTAGAGTTCAAGTTCATATAACTAAGGTTCGCCACTCATCTAGAGTTCCAGAACATTTAAAAGCAGGAGGATAAATTCTAAAGCCCTGGTTTACCTCTCATAATATCATAATACTTCACATAAGCAATTTAATATTACTCAAGTATTCATACCTGAGTTGGCGCGGCACGACGGAAGCGAGTGGTCATATACTACATCATTTTATGCAAGTATTTCACAGAGTTCTCATAATTCACGTATACCAGTCTACAGAAACGCAGACTGGCTCTGATACCAAACTGTAACGCCCCACTTTGATTTTAAAGAAATTCTAGACTTTCAGAAAAATTAGATTAAATTTTTCAAAATTTATTTCAAACATTTGTGGCGTTACTCATTTATTTCAAATCATTTCCATGACATAATATCAATTTCATAACATAAATCATCTAACTCCCAAAACGGGATTCATAAATCCATAAGTCATCAATTCACCCCAAATCTGGTTCCAAGAATAAAATACAAGTTTGCAAGACATAACAATGTCAACGGGGCATCTCCTCAATAGTGTCTCAACACCTCATAAAATCTCATAATTCGAAAATTCATCAACCATAAATAATCATAAATATAGCGGAAGCATAACCAATAAATAACCGGTCTCATAGACCGACTACTACTCGCTCTACTCCGCCGTCACACCCGCCTTGCTTAACCTGAAACGTTAATTTCAGGTGGAAATGAGCACAGTTGGAAATTGTAGTGCTCACCACTATGCAATAAACATTTATCAACATATAATAAAAGGCAGTAGGATCGCAGTATGTATGTTTTGAATCAATCAAGTATCCCAAATTTTGTAATAAATTCACAGTGTGCAGAATCATGTGCACATCTATACCAATATACTACTGCAAGTAGATGTATCGAAGGCCCTCACTCGGGTCATGCTTCGAATGCCCCATGGGCTTTACATCTATGCCCCTCGGGCTTATACACCGAATACCCCTCGGGCTTCTATCGATGCCCAGTCAGTAGGAGTAACCCCTTGGGTTTATTTTCATAAATACGGGACAACTGTTCGATGGCTAGTACAACTCACATCGAAGGCTACATAATTCGTAGGCACACATTGATCATATACAAGTAAGGCAAACAATTTATTGCATAGACAGTTTTAATAAAACCCACCTGGTCGAAGCGACAATTCACAATCATGATTCTCAAAAGCAGGGTGAGGTCAACACCTCAAAATACCTACATTAAGTCAAGATACTAATATCAACACCTTATCTTGACTTAAAAAGGAAATCACAATTATACTTAGTCGAACTTGTTCGTGAAGTCCTGTGGACATTGGAACACTTAGACTCGGCTCTAAGACTCAACCAAACACGCATGGGAGCTCACATAATCTCTATCAAAGATTTACCAAGTCAAACAAACAAAGATTAGCATGCAAGTTAGTTTACAGTTTTTAACTCAAAAGCTATATTTTCGAAATAAAGCAGGTAATTCACATAATCAAGTTGGTCAGGCTACCGAATGAGTTGGACTCTGAAAGTTTAACCAAAAATCCAACTCATTGGACTTAGCAAAAGTACCAAATTTTAGCCCTTACTCAAAACACATGATTTTATAAAATTCAGACAAGTTTAGAGCAAAAATGAACATAAATTAATAACCAGACCTATTGAACGAATTAGCCTATGAAATTTTTATCCAAGGAACCTCAACATGTGAATAACAACATGTAAAAATCTCAGTTTTAAACACTTAACATGCGAATTAATAAAATTGTAACAACATTCACCAGATTTTATTGTTTCAGTAAAACCGAACCAAAAATGGCCTCCAAAAATTCAGATATTTTTAGAGCATGAAACACATCAAAATATAAGCATTTCAACTAAAAATCAGAATTTTACAGCATTAGATCAATATATCATAATTAAAATAATTTTCGGCGGAATCACAAAATAAATTATTTCCCTTAGCAAACTGAGTCCAAAAATTCTGAAAGTTTTACACAACAAGTAAACATGCCAAAGACACAACATAATCGAATTTCAGCCAGTTTGGAGCACATATCAATTTCTTATTAAATAAACACGATTCTGCCCAAAAATCAATTTAATTAATTAAATTAGCTACAGGCCGAATAAAATTATGAAATTTTTATACGAGCATTATACATCAGAGGACATAACACCTAAAATTTCATGGCAGTCGGAGCAGCATGCAATTTATTACGAATTTTATACTAAAACAGCAATTTATACAGGTTCAACAAATTATCTACGACTCGATAAAACTCAAAATTGTCCGAGGCCTTCACCATAAGGCCAAGAACTCATTGTTCCAATTCCCACAGCAACTTAACACGTGTATAACATGATCTCGTTCGAGTTCGCACGAACCGAAGAAATCAATACATCATTTAATTAACATAAAATTCATATATGTACAAATCACATATATAACGGACGCATAAAACGAATTTAAACGAGAGAAGGATCAAGCCTCGATACCGTTCTCGGGAATACGTTCGAAAAACGGATCGGACGAGGGTTGATGGGCTCGGAAGCTAAAATAACGAACCTCGGGCGGCTCACGCTCGACCTCGGTTCGTTCTCGAACAGATGAATGGGTTGGGCGTTCACAGGTGTCGCCGGCGATTAGGCTCGAGAGGCAGCAGCGGCCCGACACGGTGATGCTGTGATGTTCTCGTGGCTGGGAGTGATGGCGCGCAAGCAGCTGGGCAGAATCCCACTCGCGGTGTTTGCAGCGGCGGCTGGAAAAACGAAGGTAGGCGACAGTGGCGACTTGGTTCGCGTGGTTGCAGCGGGTCGGAGAAACCAGCGGCGGAATGCTCGTCTTGGCTGCTAGGTCACGACGAAGGATCGCTGGGCTCGCCGGAGGAGGCTGGTCGCAGTCAGGAGAGCTCGCCGGGAAGAGCTTCGCTGCGTCGCTATTCGCGAAAAGGAGAGCAGGTCGTGGCGTTGCTATGTGGGGTCGGGAATCGCCGGAGGCATTGCAGGCGCAGGGACGAGAATTTTGCAGAGGGAGATGATGGCGATTGGCTGCTGCGCGAATTGGGAGGATGAACTTGCCGGAGGAATTCGTAAGGGTGCAGCGTCGCGAGAGGAGGCAGCAACTTACGGTTTGCTTGCGGAATGAAGGTGATGATGGTGATTGGAAATATGAAGGGAGACGACGGGATTAGGCAGAGGGAGAGAGAGGATGATTGGTGGCGATGGGAATTTTTCTTTCTCTACTCTTGCGATCGCGATCGAGATGGGAGAGGAAAGAAAATAGATTGATGGCTGCGGGCGGGTTTCTCTTCTGTGTTATTGAGCGAGAGATATAGATACAATATATTTATCTAGGTTTTAATGCCTTAGCACCCAAGACACAAACACACACGTGCACGAGGGTGAGAGAGAGGGAACTGGGTCTTGCTCAAGCGGGCCGGTTCAGCCGGGTTGGGCGTAGTTCAAATGGGCCGGGGCGCGGGTTCAAGAATTGGGCCGAATGCCTCGGTTTTCTCGGGCTCAACGATTCACAATAAAAACCGGGTAACATATATTTACACACACTTTAATATAAAATAATAATATTAATAATAATATCATTTAGACATTTAGGCATTTAATTACAATTTGACAAATAATAATATTTAGACATTCTATAATAATAATAATAATAATAATAATAATAATAATAATAACAACAACAACAATAATGATAAATAAATCTCAAATAATCCATAATTAAACGGGGCATTACATTTTTTCCTTTTTTTTTATTTTTTTTTTTATTTTTTGCCCCATAGGCCGTCCACACGTGGCTTGGGCGCATTGGCAGCTTTGCCAATTTTCATGTCCCAACATTTCCGAAACCCGGGGGAAGGAAGATCTGCTGATGAAATCGGCCCATTTCGGGGAGCAAAAAAGAAGAATTATGGTACTGAACATAACAGGTTGGACACGGACTATTTCAAAAAGATTCTTTTTGGCGTCAGACTTTAGCATTTGTCTTTAAATTCCTCTTCCTCCTTATTCTTCTTACTTCTTACTCAAACCAACAGAGTTCTTTCTTTTTCTTTTATTTTGTTCCAAAGACTTTGAAGCTACCAAGGACCATCCAAGAAGCTGCTAAGGATATCTCCAAAGAATCTTCTGCTCCATTTTACCAGGTAGGTAACAACTTTCATATTTTCAGCTTTGTTAGAAATAACAATCAATAATCCAAAGGAGAAGTGCTTAGTGAATAACACTTGAAATGTGTTTCGACGATACTCCTTTGCTCCTATAGTCGAAGGACTTACACTCTTTCCTCCGGGAGGAGGTTCGCCAAAACTGCCTTTCCCGAGCTTCGGAATATAGAAATTTCCAAGTGTCAGGAATGTAACGTTTTGGCATAAAACCTACGGATGTCATCTTCTACAAGTTTGGACACGGCCCCATCAATATAAATGTTAGCTTTGTGGCCACGTCTGTGGAGTCGTCGAGCTAGGATTTCGTCATCACTAGACTCATTATAGTCCATGGACATTTTCAAACCTGAAAAATGCAACCAAGGACGTAAGAGACAGGTTGGAACACAAGAAAAATGAGACAAGGTGACAAAGGAGTCCTCGAGATATCGTTCGAACCTTAGTGGTGAATGAAACAAAAAAAAAAGGATGACCTAGGTCAAGGCCTCAGAACAAAGGAGACACACCAAAGAAGACGTCGGAGCATACATCGTCGCCATGTGTCCTCTGACTAATGTCAAGTAATTCTTGTATCATCACAATTAAAAAATTAAAATAACTTACATCCAATCACAAGATCCAAACAAGTGATTTAAATCGTACAAGGTAATACCAAGCTGATCATGGTATTTACCCAATTGGCAATTGTTATTTCTACAATTTGTTTTTTTTGGGTTGGGATGTGTGTTGTGTTTGTGTAATCGCGTGGGTGCGAAGTGCGTTTCATTCTCTTTTGGACTTTTAGGTGCTACTCCATCCCATCTTTCTCTCTCTCAAATTTCATCGCAATTATTGCCGTCTTACCGGACTCTGTTTTCCGCATACTGATCTATCTCCTCTTCCAGGTAGGTATTCAATTCCTTTTCTCTTTTTCTATTCATAGCTTATGTGTGTTTGATTAAGTTCCAGCATGTGATTCGAATTTCTGTTGGATGGGGATTTCAAATCTTAAAACTGGTGCTTAGGTCTCTATCCATTATTTTTGCTTTTAATGTTCCCAAGCAACTTGGCTGCCATTGCCACTCAAAAAAAAAGAGGCCACTGAGACTGGTGCTTCGGTTTACTTTCTCTATCTATTGATTTTTCTTTTAACGTTTTTCGTTTCCCCTGTAGTTTACGCTGTCATGCTTATTTCATTTCTTTTTCTTGCACCCTATGCTTAAACTGGACTCGATGCCTTTGGTCATCTGGTATTGAAAGCAGCTGTAGTTGTGAACTTGGAAAGTTTCGTTTGCTCTACTCGCTTTAAGTATATGCCAACTCTTTTTAACCTCCTTTTTAACTTTAATAGTTCCCTTGATGCTTGAAATGATGTGGACTTCAGTTTTAACAGGATGGTAGCCCTCAAATTGATTGCTTATGGCAGTCTGTTGACTATGAACTCTATTTTCGTTTCACATGAATGTTTATTTTTAGGCTGTACATGTTTCTAGAGGTAGAACGTTTAAAAGTCGGGATGCTTGAAATTATGTGGACATTATTTTGACTATATGGTAGTCCTGGAATTGATTGCTTATGAGTCTAGTTTGTTGACTCTTGTCTCAATTTTTGTTTGACATTAGTGTTTATTTTTATTCTGTATATGCTTCTAGAGATAGAATGTTTAACCAAGTTAGGTTCATTATTAGTCAATTAAGTGATAGGTTTTGTTGAGTTGTTTAGTTATCCCATGATATTCTGCTTGTGTATCCTCGTGTGGTTTCCTTGGTTTTGTGTGTCTCGTGGGTGATTATTATGCTTTGTTTCAATTCTTAAGTTCATATCTGGTTTTCTTTTGGTTCTATTTTTGATTGCCATGTTCTTTTCAGATTTTATATTTAAGGAGGGAGGCTTCAAAAGTCATTGAAGAGCTTTCCAACAGAAAGTTGAAAGGAAATCTGCTGGTTTGGGAGGAAAAAATATTCTTCATGACCTTTTGACATTTTACAATGTCAGGGTTGCTCAATGTATTGTCTCTTCTGCTTTTGTGTTATTGTGTGTAATTATTTTTATATTTATTCTTGAATTAATATATTTTCTTTTTAGCTCTTTTGCCTGATACTTCAAATTTGTCAATTGTCTAGTTCATGGTTGCCTTTTGTACTATATATTTGACTGCATATAAATTTGTTCAATCGATAATTTTATAAGAAATATCACTGATTGGTGTATTAAACTTGCATCATTCTGATGACTCTAAAATACAGAATTTATCTTGTGATTAAGGAATGTTAATGTGCTGTAATTTGTTTTGAAAATCATGTGTTTGAGTATGCATTTTATGAAACTTCTAGTTGAGTCTTGTCTGAGACTCTATTCCCCTGCTTGATCCAACAACCGCATTTCTCTTGCACCTTTCTGCATAGTGAACTTCTGAGGGAAGCAGCTAAGTTTTGATCTCTCTGGCTACATAGCCTATTGGCTCTTTTTGTCATGGGGAACGTAATGTAGTCCTTACTTTTGTCTGGGTCGTTGGTTTTGCTATACTTAACTCTGAATTTCTCTGCTTTTCTCTATCTTTGAAGTTATGAAAAATAAAAGAAGTGTAGAAGGTGTCGTTTTCTTACACAATGGATTCAGGGAAGATGAACCTGGTTGAACTTATCTTTAAGTGGGATTGTTTCTTTTACCCAGCGAATGTAAAAGCATTTATTTTTTGCGTATCTAGAAGCGGAGAATGAGTAACTTCTACTTATTGCAAACCTTCATGTGAAGTTTAATTGGAATTTTAGAATGTATATACAGAAGGGTGAAATATTTTTATTGAAGTTATGGTTTGGAATCTTTTCTTCTTTTGGCAATGATGTACTGTCACACATTTGAAGATTATATGCTTTTAGCTAACCTTTTCTTGGTGGCTTGTTCTACCAAGGTAGCAAGGCCTATGGCGACCTAGTCAATTTTCTAGCAGGCAGCTTCATCTTTATAATTTTAACATGGAATTTTTTCTTCTTTGCTTGATCTTTTTTCCTTTCTCTTGTTTCTGTGTGCCTATTTTCTAGTTGGGGTTTGGGAAATCTATGTGAATGATAAAGATCTCATCAACATTAATGTGTTCTCAGTAGTTGGTGAGTTTGTGCTTGAGAAACTGTTCTGCTTTTGATCACTTTGACATACATTGATCTCAATTTTTTTGAAGCTTATTGCAGAGAGATTGATTATCTGTGATATGCAAATTGTTTTCTTTGTAATTTTTCCTGTTACATTTGTGAATTTTTATATTAAGCAGTGATGAACTGCATCATATTATATACAAACTTGCAAGGTGGATGGTGGTTGACATGCCATTTTGCAGTTTTTATCTGTTAACATTTTCTTTTTACCACTGCAGTCATCACTTAACGGGCCAAATTCAAATCTTCCGGACAGCTCAGGAAGACCATTCTCACCATCATTTTCTAGCCAGTCTGGTGCTGGTTCTCCTGTTTTTCATCACACTGGTGAGTTGCTTGTTGGGACTTGGGATGACTCTGTTATTGTTTTTACAAACTATCTGTAACTTCAACCTTTCTTTACACTCTACAGGAAATATTCAGGCACTGCATAATACTCATGGGAATTTCAATGTTCCCAATATGCCAGGAGCCCTTGGATCAAGAAACACCACCATGAATAGCGTTCCCTCTAGTGGCTTGCAACAAGCTGGCGGAATTTTTTCTAGTGGACGCTTTGCATCAAATAACCTTCCAGTTGCTCTTTCTCAGGTGAGATCTCATCTAGAATTATTTATATCAGATGACATTAGTGCTAAAGATGGTTGTTAGGGTATATCTGGAAATCAAGTGAATATGAATCTGTAGCCATTACTATTTATCCTGTGGACCATGTTATGCTGAGTGCTTGTTATATAATTTTTTCTGATTTGCAGATATCTCACAGTGGTGCACATGTTCATTCAGGGATAACGAATAGAGGTGCTATGAATATTGTCGGAAACCAAGGGTATAACAATAGCACTAATGGCGTTGGTGGTTCAATCCCCGGTATTTTTCCATCCTCTGCGGCAGTCGGTAACCGAACCACTATGCCTGGTGTTGGTGTGAATCCAGTTCTTGGAAACTCGGGTCCACGGATTACAAGTTCAATGGGGAATATAGTTGGTGGGGCCAACATGAGCAGAAATATTAGCTCAGGTGGCGGATTATCTGTACCTAGTCTTGCTTCTCGCCTAAATTTAGCTACCAATGGTGCCTCTGGAAATTTAAATGTGCAGGGACAAAATAGGCTGATGGGTGGTGTACTCCAACAAGGTAACTACACTGTTACCTCTGCTGCTATCTTTTGCTCTTAACAAGGAAATTTTACATGGGATGCTACGGAATGTTAGTTCCTGGGGATTGGTGATGATTTATACATGTATACTTGTATTGAAATCGGACATTTTTTTAATGTATTGCATGACCTTCAGTTGGATAAAATGAAAGTCACACATAACTAATAGCTTAGCATCCTCTGGATCAAGGGTACTCGCCGATGGCAATGTTAGCTCTTACAAATTAATGTAATCTAGACTGATGTTGCTCCTAGATTGCAATGAAAAAGAACATAAATGTCTTTTTTAATGTGTATTGATTGAATTTTCAAAGGACCACCATCACCATCTCTCTCAGCTGATTATTATGGATTTTCTTGCGAGAGTATTTGTTAAGTAATTGTAAACAGCCTTTGTTGGTTCACATTACTGGGGAGTAAGAGAAGGCACAGGTGTAATTTCTGTGTTGACATTACTGATTGTTGCTTCTTCTTGTTGTTTCTAGTCCATCATCTTGCCTTTCTAAAATTTATTTGTTTGGGATAATATTTTCACCGTCCAAATATATATGTTACACATTTATTTTTACAGTATTTGAATGCTAATTTTTGTTTTTCTTGTTAAGGAAATTTCTGTTTTGCTGTAGTTTTGTTTTAGGTATTCTCTTACCATATTGTGGCAAGAAAAATTTTGCTGCCTATAAGAATTTAGCTGCTGAGATTCTTGTGGTATCAAATCATGTATGGCAGACTGTATAAAATATAAAATGTACAAAGATTTTTTGTTTCATTAACTGTTTAATTGAGTTGTCTCTTTCTAAAGTATTTTTGCGCATGACATGAAGTTTCACTACTTTATGGTTTTAAAGTGATTCTGTATGTACGTGACAGTTTATAGCTGATCTGCAGAACTCAAACCCCCTAGTCACACACAATGTTCTAAAAGTTGCTAAGACCCATCGAGCGGCGGGCTGGGGACCAGAGCCTAGAATGCCTAGGTGGGGACTAGGCGGGATCATAAAAATATTACTAAGCATATTTGTATTTAGCATCATGCATAATTTATAAGATATATTTATATAAAATTATGATCAAATACAAAGAATATGCAAAATTTAGTACATTTATAATTATTGTTTTAATAGGATGATTATTATTATTTTTATTATAACTAATGTAAATTTCATTAATAAAAATTAAAATCATTTTCATTATTTAAAAAGATAAATTAAAAAAAATTTAAGAACCAAAAATATGGGCGCCTAAGCGCCGTCAAGACCGTGCCCGACTAGGCCTCCTAGCCAGCTTAAACATGACTAACTTTGCAACTGCCTAGCCAGCCTTGGTGCCGCCTTGTCCTCCTAGATGCCGTCTAATTGTCCAAGTGCCTTGAATGGCTGCCTAGGAAAAAATCGTGGTGCTCAAGTGCTGGCGCCTAGACCGATTTTTACAACAGAGGTCACACAAGTATGCAAAAATGAAAAGAAGAGAATGAATTAGTCTCATTATCAGTATTGTCATCTTTACAAGTTATAAGTGTTTTGATAAGTTTTACTCATTTCGTATTTTCTGGATAAATGTGTTTCCATTTATTGGTTGTAATGCTCGTGTAACTGTTCGTTTTAAATTATTTCTGAGACTGAATTCAGCACATTCTTGGTCAATGTTGCTTGCTTGAGGAACAGGTGCCCTTTATGATACTGAAAATTCTGTTATTCAGCTTCTCCACAGGTATTATCCATGTTAGGCAATTCCTATCCTACTGCTGGCAGTCCTTTATCTCAAAACCATGTTCAACCTGTAAATAACCTTACTAGTATGGGTTTAATGAATGATCTGAATTCAAATGATGGTGCCCCTTTCGATATCAACGATTTCCCTCAGTTGACTAGTCGTCCCAGTTCTTCTGGAGGCCCACAAGGACAACATGGTAACAAAAAAAGATGGTCTACTTTCTATGTAACTTCTTTATGCACTTTTATTTCTGCTGTAAGATACATCGCTATTTAATATATTGTAGGTTCGTTGCGGAAACAGGGTCTTGCTCCTATTATTCAACAAAATCAAGAGTTCAGCATTCAAAATGAAGATTTTCCAGCCTTACCTGGATTTAAAGGTGCATATGTGTTCATATTCAACATTTTATTTTTTTGTTCTTAGTGACAAAGGTTTGTTTACCTTCTGGTATGATGTTTAAATGACTAGTGTATTGGAAGCTGCAATAGTCATCATTTAGTAGTTATGAGCTATATGAATTCTTTAGTTAAATTGTGAATAGATGAGAATGGATCTGTGTTGATGAATTCAATTTTGGTTCAGATTGTTATTGATTGCATCTTGTGTAATTGGCACTTCTTCAAGTAGGTTATGCAACAATTTTCTTAATCTGAGTATTAACTACCAAATTACCTTATGAAACATTAGTCTTCTGCACCAGTCAAAAGGTCCGGCCGGGCAGACATGAAAGTGAAAATGGCCTCATATTGTGTTATTAATTATGGCTCTGTGTGTCTATACTCAACGCATAAATCCTGACTTGAGGGAGATTTTCGTGAAGAAACTGCATTATTGAGGATGTGTACATATAATGATATTTGAATTATTTTATGGTGGTGATGATTGCCTTTTGCTTTTTTTTTTTTTTCCCCCCAGAAACGATAAATATTATATAACTAATTAAAATCAGTACAAAGCCTGGACACACATTCAATTGGAATTACACAATCTACCAACTGGAAAAAGACAACTAACACACAAAAAACACCCTCCATAAGACAAAAACACTCCAATGCTGGAGACTAAGCCTATATAGAGTTGGGGATACAAGAAATTACGCAACTACACCCACCTACTACAAATAATTAGAATAATTATTCAATTTTACACAAAGTTTCTTTTGGAATTTGATCATACTGACCTAATATTTGTGCATGTGATGTATGTTTTCATTTTAGATCTATTCTGTCAATTATATATAGTTTTGAACATGTATGCCCCGCACTAACATTGAAATTGTCAATATATTCATCTTTTATAGGTGGTAATGTTGATTTCTCTATGGACTTGCACCAGAAAGAACAACCTCATGATAGCTCTGTTTCTATGATGCGGCCTCAAAATTTTTCTGTAAGTGCATATATGTTGAACTTTCATGTATCTGTAAAATCTAAGCTCCATTTCTTCTGAATTTATCCGATTTAAAAATGCAGATGGGGAGATCTGCTGGTTTTAATATGGGTGCAACATATTCATCACATCGACTACAGCAGCAGCAACCACACACTCCATCAGGAAGTGGTGGTGGGCCCTTTTCGAATGTGAATAACCAAGATCTGCTCCATTTACATGGCTCTGAAATGTTTCCATCGTCACATTCCAACTTTCACTCACAGGTGTGTTAATATGCTCTCCATTTTTTTATTATAATATTTTATTTTAAGTTTGTAATTATTGATCATTATGACTGGTTAAGCTTAACTGAACAGGGTACAAATAAAAATAATTGAAAATTGGAATAAGCTGATAATCTTACTTTATATCCATTGTTCTCTTTTGGGTTTCATTTGATAGTATGCTTGGCACCACTAATCCCGGTCCCTTTACTTTTTTGTTCATGGAGATATCAGTAGTACTTTTGCTGAATGAGAGCAAGCTAAACAACTCTACTTTTGTATGTTTTCAAACTGATATGGTTAACTAATACCTGATCACCTGGAAGAGTTTAGAGTTGACAAATCTAAAGCTTTAAGTGCCACCATGGATATAATTTGTTTAGAAGCTGGCGAGATCTATGTTAGGCTGGACTAAAACTAGTTTAGAATATGCAGAACTGCAAGATGAGCTAAATGCTCTTGTGGGCCTCCTCTTCCGTTTTTTTTTTTTTTTTTTTTTTGTTTTTTTTTTTTTTTTTTTTTTTTTGTCATTATTGTAGTTACTGTAAGTTTTCATTATTATAGTTACTGTAAGTTTTCTTGGTAAAAATTAGTGGTTAATGTATTCTTTTTATTGTTTTTTCTAATGATTCAGAGCAGTGGACCTCCTGGGTTAGGATTGCGACCTCTGAATACGCCGACTTTACTATCTGATATAGGGCCATATGACCAGGTTTTACAGCAATACCAACAGCATCAGAATCGAACACCATTTCGTCTCCAACAAATGTCTGCTATTGGTCAGCCTTTTCGGGATCAAGGGGTGAAGCCTATACAGGCTGCCCAGGCCACATCAGATCCATTTGGTTTGCGTGGTTTGTTAAGTGTGATAAGAATGAGTGATCCAGATTTGACATCTCTTGCACTTGGAATTGACCTAACGACACTTGGATTGAACTTGAATTCTAGTGAAAATCTCCACAAGACGTTTGGTTCCCCATGGTCAGATGAGCCTGCCAAGGGAGATCCTGAGTACACTGTGCCACAATGTTATTATAACAAACAACCACCGCCTCTAAGTGTGAGCTTTCTTCGACATCTTATTTATAGGCTGTGTTACTTTTAAGCATTGTTTAGTTGCTGAGATGTGTTCTGGCTGCAGCAAGCATACTTCTCGAAGTTCCAACTGAACACACTATTCTATATTTTTTATAGGTACGTCTTATGTTAAATATTTGTTATTGGTTTTATCAGTTCATTCTCACTGGAAATATGACATCTGTTTGCTTATTAACTTTTATGCAGTATGCCAAGGGATGAAGCCCAATTATACGCGGCAAATGAAATGTATTTATCTCAGCTATCACTTTATATAGATGTATTAATTTTCTTGCTTGTATCATATTGTTTTTATGGTGGTATAATATTTCCTCAGGCTTCATTCTGGTTTCTGGCAAAAAATAGATTCTGATTTGGGTCTTCCCATGTGCCGTGTGTACTATTTTCAGGTATAATAGAGGCTGGTTTTATCATAGGGAGCATCGATTGTGGTTCACAAGAGTTGCTAACATGGAGCCTCTTGTAAAAACAAATGCATACGAGAGAGGTTCTTATATCTGCTTTGATCCTAACACGTGGGAGACAGTTCACAAGGTTTTGTTTCTTTTTCAATCCACTTACTGATTAATTATCATTTCCGACAGAGAATCATTTAACTGCCATGATCAAGGCCTTTGAATAAATGGTATGATCTCATGCAGGATAATTTTGTTCTCCACTATGACATGTTGGAAAAGAGACCAGTTCTACCTCAACATTGACATTCATGCTCACCATGTAAATCTTCAGGTGGAACCTTTTTTAAGAGTAGAGGTAGCTTGATTTTATTTCTACTGTGCAGTCAGCCATTGTAATCAATCATTGCAGCTCTGTCATCTTTCTATTAGCTTTCTTAGTTCTGTACAATTTGCATGGTAATATCACGATACGAAATGGAGCATTTTCTTTTATTGTGCATCTTTTCAGTTCTGTAGTCTCTTTGCAGTTCATGATGTCATTCCATTTTCTGATTATCAACCCTCTGCATGTATTCTAATGTTTCACCTACTTTTCAGATTTAATCTGAAGTGCTATTGCCTATACTTGTTTATATTTTTCAAAATAAGTCAACGTGACAGTCCACCACCTTCGTATCTTACAAATCTAATATTCTGTATACCAATTTTGAAGTATGAAAACGAACCACACCCCATTATGTACTTGCATATTGTGATTGTGATATGCATAAACTTTTGAGAAGCCAAGCAATATATCATTCTACACAGTTTTTTAATTAAAAGTCTTCTATCGAAAAATTAATATAGAATTACTTATTTCATTTTATCTTCTGATTGCTCGTCCAAACACATTCTCATTTCCGCAATGTGATATATATATATATATATATATATATATATATNAATTCCTTTTTGTTGCCGAGAAAGTAGAAATAGATCATGTGAATTTTGGCCTACAAGACGAATTTGCTGACATGGGTGTTTCAAAGTCTAATTTTGGTGTTTGAAGTTCCCAAAAATGTCAAGAGCCACACACACACACACACACACATGCGTGTGTGGAGATGATGGCATCTACAATTGCCAAAACTTAAATTTCTTAATGTAATTTTATTTTATTTCACATGAACCTCAATTTTTGTAAGGGCATGAAAAAAGTTGAGGTTAGAATTAGGGGTGGCAATAGGGTTTGATTTAGCCTTGGACCTTTTCTCATTTTTTTTATTTTTTTTTTATTTTTTATTTTATATTTTTTTTTATGACTAAAGCGGTTGTAGTTCAGAGAATGATAGAGAACCTTGTGGGTTCCAGCCGGTTTTCTATGGTTTTTTGCTAGAGCTATCTATACTGCCTTTAACTGCCCCTTGAGATGATTCATCTCAAGACTTCTTTACTGCCGGTTCTAGATTTTTCTCTAATATAGAGTTTGGACCTCTTTTTTCCTGGCATTCTTTTGTTATCTTAAGCTTCATTTGGATGGATGTATTTGAGGTGAAGGATTTCTCTGTTGGGCGGCAGTTCTGTGAACATTGTATCATTAGGTTTTAATTGATTATGGTTTATTTATTTATCATATTAAATTTAAGATGAACCCTCTGAAAATGTTTGCCCCAATCCTTTTCCTAAATTAAATCCTTACATCCAAATGCAACTTTATTATCGTTCTACTTTGGTTTATTCTTCTCTTATTTAGATTTTCTTGTGTTGGCCTAAAATGAAAGAATTTGTGTTAAAGTTTACAATTATGTTTTGACATATCTATTGTGCTTTGTTTCTGTAAACTCACGACACAACGGATATGAATCATCTACTTATTCTTACTGGTTCATGAATCATTGTCATGGTTTTTTAACCTTTATATCCTTCTCCTGAATCATATCCTAACATTGTTCAAGTCATCTTTCTTCTACTC